ATCCATTCCACACCCTGCGACATCTTTTCCGCAAAATCAATTTTGATAGCACTTTCCCATCTAAATATAGGTCTTCTGGGTGGCTTCTTCCCTTCAGGCCTTCTAACCAAAGTCCTGTATGCATTTATTTTCTCCTTCATACGTGCTACATGCTCAGTCCATCCCATTCTCCTCAAAAACGCTGATGTACGCTTATAAAAATGTTTACGTTATTTAACATTCTTTTAATCTGACATTTCACAGCCCAAATCATCAAATAAAATGCAGATGTTGATTTATTGACAATGCTACATTAATTGCACACTTAGACCTACATAACCTCAATCGGAGGAAGGCAATAACTAACTAACTAACTAGATGGCTTACCGAACCCGAAGGTTCATCACCGAATTAACCAAAGCCCTCCACTGGACCCTGTCCTGGGCCAACAAAATCCAGTTTCCTTCAACTCCTATCTCCCATAGATCCCGCCTGAGATTATCCTCCCATCTACGTCTAGGTCTCCCCAGCGGTCTCTTCCCTTCAGGTTTCCCAACCAGTACCCAGTGCACACCTCTTGTCCCATCCATGCGCGCTACATGTCCCGCCCATCTCACTCTTCTCGACTTAATCACCCTCACAATACTGGGGGAGCAGTACAGATTTTTGGAGGAAGGCAATGAATAATTTAAAAAGTTGTGGAAGGGGCATATGCCTCGAGGAAATTAGAAAAAAGATGAAAACCTGTCAGCACAGCCAGCCCCCGGACCAAGAATCTAACACGGTATTACATAAATACAATTCGACGTGAAAATGGTAAGTAATGAATAGGTAAGGATTTGGAAGAAAGCAAAAATGGTCCATCTGAATGTAAGCCTGTTAGAACGGCAATGTACAGACAAAGGAAAACCACAAATACCCTTATAGGCAGCTCTGGCAGTATAGCTAGTAACTGGCTGGAAGACCAGGGCTCGATTCCCGGCAAGGGCAGAGATATTCTTTGTCACACGTTCAGACGGGCACTGGGGCTCATCAACTCATCTCCATTTAGTGCCGAACTGAACAATGCATGGAGCTTTACCTCCACTCCACGTTTTCATCGTGCCGTGGTTAACTAAGCAAATACACAACTCGGCCTTCACTTTTACGATAGACAAGAGTCTTGAGAGGTAGTAATGGCGCTGAGATTCGAACTGAGTAACTTCTGATTTCATGTCTACAGTCACTGAAGCGATCGGTTCGATAACAGGCTACTTGTCCAGTGATATGTGCATAAAGGATTACTCGTGAAACGATAGCTTCTGGCTGATTATGTAGTTGCTCTACAGGCCATGTAAAACGACCTTGAGTCCACATCTTGATAAACATTTGGTTTTAAGACAACAGATTCCTGCACTGTGAGCATGTAGTCCTCTCTGGTTTACTAAATTTAGTCCAAAGCCATGGCTGAATTGTAATTCCTGACAAATAAAATCATAGTTTACACGTTCAACATTAGTGGCGACGGATATGCTCAAACCCGGTGCTCTAGAAGGTAGCCAATAACCTCAAAACGCGAGTTGAGCCAAATTCCCAAACGTCGTGTACTATTTAAAATCTATGCAACAGATCTTATGCGTATGAGTTTAACATTTTGTGCCTTTAGAGTTATAATGAAATCAAATGGAAACATACATACTCTGAAATGTTAAACTCCTTAAAGATGCATTCAAACTGTAAACTGAAATAAATGGTTCCAAATGCAGTACGCAGACTAATGATATACTTGTACGAAATTCGCGGTTCTCAAGGTGCTGATACTAATTCATAGTAAAACAGAAATACCTTTAAGAAATAACGTGCTTCAAGAAATGTTACGGTTCAGAAAACCAAGTAGATCAAGCGAAATTGTGAATGACTCTTTGGAGTTATGTGACAAAATGTTTGCAACAATTTATTTTCCTCGTTCTTCAACACTGACTGCCCTGCCATACAATAGAATAAGACAGTCAAGCCTGTTCCATGTCAAATCAACAATCGTTCAACTGAAGCAAAAAAATAAATAAATAAAGCATGCACTTAAAATGAATACCTAAAAGACCCATATTCTTAACTGAACGATGACTTCTGCACTGAGCTGAACACATATTTTTGAACAAGGAAGAAGCCTGCAGTTTATCCGTACTGCACTGCAGAGATGTTCTATTTTGAGAAGTTGCTCATGGCCAGTTGTTTTGTTCCTTTCGGCAAAGAATCTTAAGATCATCAAATAAAGGTACCACTTGCGCCATCTACATGATGGAAAGCGTACTACTTCAAAGTAACGCGAATAGAGCTAATATCACACAACGGCGCGTAACATAAAAACGGGTGATATGCACATTTAAGGTGCAGTAGTAATAATATATACCACCTGGTTTAAAAATCAATAACTCTACATTTCGTATTCGTGGGCTCCGTATGATTCTGAGAATAAACAGCTACTATTATTTCCTTAAACAGCATCAACCATTTTACACTTGTAATCGCTAAGTGTTCTGTTTTCTTTGAGGCACGGCTTCAATATTAATTTCTCTTCAAAGGAACAATACTATGACGTTGCAAGGTAACATCTGGATGGAATCTCAGTTGGTTAAGTCCATCCTCACCAAGGCTTTTCATGATTTGCTTCCCTCAAGGTCACAACTACCCTCCTTCCAAACTAATCTCTTTTTATCATCTTCCTGTTTCATTCAATAATGCTCCATGGCCAAAACAGCAAATAACCTAAATATGAGTCATCATTTAACAACAATGTACCAACTGCCAAGTTCATATGACTGACCAAGGAATAGATATTAGAATCACACAGCAAAAAAAATATAACATAAATCATCCCAGCACACCTATGTCAAAACAATCAGAAGTTTCAGAAATACTCAATTATGTGAGGACTTCAGTATTCATACACATCACACAGATCATGTTTCTGCCATATCTCTACTGTATACAAGTTCAAAACCGATTATATCCAGAATAAGTTTTGAAGGAGAACTACATTCTTGGGTATCCTTAGCCTTACATACTTCTCTAACTACCACAAATCGCATGTGAAGTATACAACACGGTGCCATGGTAGAAACTCCTATTTCATATTCTAGAATTAATGAACATGAATCATAGTCAAGCCACCAAACACCTTCACTCAGTGATTTCCTAAGGACACTGATAATTTCCTTTTGCCTTCTTCCCAACACACCATTTATAATCTGCTACTTCTCATGTGAACTACAAGAATGACAAAAAGTCATTAAAAAAATAAATATACCCTATGTGTAATAAACAGTATTTGGACCAAACTGTGCTCAGTTTATATTTGTAAACTTAAGACACAAGATCTGTAGCATAATTTGCTCTGCGGCAATGAAAGATAACAATTTAGTTTGAATGTAAAATATTCTTTTGCTGTCTGTTGAGTTTCCCCAGAAAATAATTCCATATGATGTGATAGTCCTCATAGCAAAGCACGCTGAGCTTACTTAAGGGATTATGTGTAATACCACCCAACGTAAAGATGCTACTTTGGAATAGCACTTGTTCTGTTTTTTTGCAGGTAGTACTTGATCTCTGTATTATGTAACAAGGAAATGAAATCGTTTTTGTGTATTCAATGTCATACAAGTTTTGTAGAGGTTTTCTAAAATACCTTCATACAGTGAAAGAAGTGTTATTACTCTTTTCTTGTAAAGGACTCCATCTGAACACAAGCTAAATAATACTATATGGAACTATGCACCCACCTCACAAAAAATATCTACAGGTGAAGATTTTAGGAACCCGAGAGTTAGAAAAAGAACAAATTCTGGGTATAACTCATAAAATCTACTACATAGATTCCTAAGGTTGTTAATGTCTAAGAATATAAATGTTTCCAATTATTATTGGTATTTCATACAATTACATTTAATTTTAAATTGCTTAAATTTTAGAAAACTTTATTCCCAACATCATCCCAATACTTTACTTCTTATTAAAGTTTTCAAGGGAAAAATAACTTGTTATTCCACCATAAACACTGTTGGTATTCATGTGCCTATAAGGAAAAAAAGATAAAGTTTCTACTTTCTGTATGAAGACACAGTCGTTCAGGTAGATAAGCTATTGCTGCACCTTAAGTGTAGTTCTAGATATCAGATTTCTAATCTAATTCATACTGAAATACAGGTGTAGTTCCATAATAAAGCTTTTAAACTTAGCTGAGCATTATGAGAAACACAGATGAATGTTGCTAAAAAGTTGCTTTCATGCACAAGGATAAAACCATGTTATTTCTTAATCACACATATATCACATTGCGTTACCACAACAAAAAGATAATATTATTAATCAATAGAGTATACTAATACTTCCCCAACAAATATATGTAATTACTGCTGCTTATAAACTGGCATGGAGTTGTATTCATGTACTAAAAAGCAAATGTAAAAATAAGAGCCAGGTGATGGAAGCAGTAAGCTCCTCTGAAACATCAGTCAATATCTGGCAGACTATGCAGCACATTATAAATGTCATTCTATACCTTCTCAGATCAGTAACATAACTTGTCATATACATGAGCTGCGCGATCCTCTTTCGGTTGTAAACTAGAAGTTAATGTGAAAAGAATGAGAAAAACAAATGACATACAAATGATAGGACTTGTTGTGCATTATCAGAATTCACATTACAACTAACAGAGGAAGAGACTATTCGAATCCCAAAATTTGTAAATAAAAAGTCAATAAAAATTAATAAAATGGAATTATGTCTAAAATGACCTGACAAGTGCTGCTGAATGAAGTTAATGAGTAAGGTAATTGTTTCTACATACGGTTACCGTGGACCTTAAGAAAAACTAATTTCTGGAATTCACATAAAACTTGTTAAAGACGGTTATAGAACACAACTACGAGCATTAAATATTAAAATATATTCTGATGACATTACTATCAGGCTAATATATGGGTAGGGTGCGGTTGATATTCATAACATAAAATAATAAATGTGTTCGTTTGAATACTTACAATTACGGCACAGTTTCTCAACATATAACACCTAAATTCACAAATAACGAACATATATACACATACTGCAACCACTTTCTTAAATGTACTGTCACACTGCTACATAAATGAAGACACCATCACAGTACTCGGAATATTGTCATCACAGATAATACGAATTGAATGTCATTGAATGAAACTTTTCCACTTCAGATGCTAGCCCGCAAGTGACATCTTTGAGCAACGTATTGGAACCATACGTTTATGCTCTACACATCACCATGGCAACAAAATAAAAAAAATCCTTCTACATTTTCTTTCCGAAATTAGCTACTATAAAAAAATTGATTTGCCTTCAATACACATGCACATATCGGTACATAAAAAACAAAATACTGTGTTACATTTTGTGAATTTTATATATAAAGACTTGTCCAGTTCGCGTAGCCATAATGTTGCTATTTTACACTTTTGAACTTTCAGCTGCATCGAACATATCACGCAAGCCAAATTCCCATAACTTAACATACTTAAATGTTATCAGGGTGGGAGTATATACATACTGGCAATGATACAAGCCGATAATTCGTTAGAAAAAAAGGTCAGGTTAACATAGATTATCTTAAAACTACATTAAATTTTAATCTTTCGTTTTCAACGCACTTCCTGTATTCACACGCCAGTGGGACATTCAAACATTGTGCTTATCTTCACGCATTAATATATAAAGAAGAATCATTAATAAATTCTCTATGTTCATCGCCTTGATGGCGGCAAACTACACTCACCATCATCCATTGCCGTTTCCAGCCTGGGGCTGGGTTCGCTTCGTAAAGGCCCAAGCCTTGATGGCAGCAGACTACACTGTACAACCCAAATGACAGCCATCTTCGTACTCATTGACGTGAGAACCTCGAATAATATTTCATCATGAGTCGCTTATTTTGCTTAATAAAACACTTTTATAATCTTCTGCTGAACTCAAATTTACAATACATACAAAACTATATTCCTCGATCGTCAGAAATATACCAACTTCCACAGGTGCCAACAGTCTAATTCATGGTATTAGTCCAGCATGAAGTTGGAATGGCTGAGATAATTTATACAAAAACCTATCAAGAGAGACAATGTTCCCATTCACATTCAAACCACCAACCTGCCAAATAAAACGCAGGAGTTGCCATTGCAACAAGTTGCACAGTGATCAAAGCAAGATAGTGGTAACTGAGGACAGAGATCCATCTCTCAACAGAAAAACTATTAAATCCCTGTCCAGTTGGATGCTTGCTAACCTTCACAAATTGGTATGTTCAAGAACAGTTAGTTTCATTTGGTCAGTCTTACAGAAAAATACTATAGCTCTTGCATCACAAATAGTGCTACAACAAGGGAACACTAGTACATAAATGACCAATGAGCACAAACAAAATTAAATTTTAAAACAGAACTCTCAAAATCAATCATCAACTTAAATCATCCGATTTTATCTTATGGAAAGAAATGGAAATACTAAACTTACCTGCACAATTTGTTGCCCCTTCTGTGCAAAAATGATCTTCCTGATTTGCCTATAGATTTAGCAGTTTCAGTCATAATAAAATTTAAATCTATCTTCAGACTTGTCTTAACGTAACTTAAATATGTTCAAAACAAGCTACAATTTGTGTCTAAGCACGTGCCTACTCGTATAATTTACAAATCCCGCAGATGACATACAGTGGGACAGCTTTACTCGCTTTTAACATGCGACAACTGAAAAATTACTTACCCACTACATTTAATATATATTACGATTATTTCATCGTGACAAAAGAATTAACAACTTCTGACGTTACAGAAAAAACACAACTACAACACAATTAACGTAAGAGAAAACAAGATGACAAAGTCTGGCTTTCCACGGATCCAAGAAACATGCAACCCAACATATGGAGACAGAAGTAAACTATGCTACATCTCCAAATTCTGTATTTTATTTTAGTGCACTGCTCGACACCAAACGTTCACAGCCTAAATGAAAGAACCATTCAGTACAGTTGGAATTTTTACATTTAAAACAAATACAAAGATATATTTTCCAGAAAAATGCGTTTACTGTAATGATTGCGTTTATAAATAATATGTACAATAATACATACAGGAAACAACTAACACATCATGGAAACAATACAGGGCAAGTCTAAATGATGTTCCTGATTTGGAACACGTTACTCATGTTTAATGAAATTCAGATGCACAAAATTGGTACTGATGGAAAGAGAAACTCTCCAAGTTTATGTTGGTATACTTCGCGGCTGCGTAGTAACACTGTTCGCCGCCAGGGGCGATATGAGATAAAATGGCTGCCATCGAAGACAGGGGAACCTTTTGTGTCATGGATTTCCACGTTCACCGGACCCGACGCCCTGTGATTTTTTTCTGTGGGGGTTCGTCTTCGTGCCACCCTTACCACAGACCTTGCTTGTTCTGCGAGCGTGCATCACAGCTTCCATTGCAGCAATCGATCATGATATGCTGCAACGTGTCTGGGAGGAACTCGACTACTGGCTGGATGTGTGTCAAGTTACCAAGGGGGTTCACATTGAACACTGTGATGTACTGAAACAAAACTTGGAGAGTTTCTCTTTCCACCGGCATCAATTCTGTGCATCTGAATTTCATTAAACGTGAGTAGCATGTCTTCAAATCGGGAACATCATTTAGACTTGCCCTGTAATACAAATAATTAAAATTCTAGGTACAACCTCAATAATCAGTTTCAAATTAGGAAGTTTAAACAACAGACATGAACAGATTTCTGCGACGAAGATTCGACTGCAGATCAGTTCTGTACATTCTGTGAATAATACTGACAAATTATAGGCACGCGGCCAAATCGGGAGCTCCGCGTTATGACGGAGATGACGTGCTTCTTTCGTCTTGCTCATGCGAAGATGAAACACGCTGAACAGTAATTCTTCAGGTTACAATGGATACACGCATCGGTATCAAACGAGTTCACTTTGTTCAGTTAAACTAAGAAAGAAATGTCACTTATTGAAGGCCATTTATGTTATTGCAAGTATTCAAGATAAACATTAAAAAATAAATTAAATTAACTTAAAACAGAATTTATGGCAAAACACATTCTTCTTTACTGCCATAAACACTGTACAGCATTGCATTGTTTTCATTTTATAATTTGGGACTTGATATGACCATTCCTTGTGGGTCCCATTCACACAAATAGATACAGACATGCTTCCAACTTCCTTCACCTTCAGCACATATTCACGCTCTTCAAACAATAAATAATGTAACAAATCTACTCTCTTCCATTTCTACATAACTTACATGCTTCCAACAACAATTTGGTGAAAAGTCTGTAACTTTAAATTAAAAAATTTTTCCTAACGGACGCTATTCGAAGTACAGTCTATAACCTTCGATCGCGTGTCGCTAATTTCTCTACGACGGTAGACCATACGTATGTATCCGAACTTCCTCTATCGCTTTGCACCATTCCAGCGCATATCCTTCTGGATCTTCTAAGTAGTATGTTCGGTTCGGCTGTAAAACACAAGCAAGACAAATGAGGAAACTACCTCTTGCATTATCTTCAAAATAATTGTCAATTTGATTTCAATAAAGACTTCCCACACTTATACAAATTCCATAATATCA